GATTACATACACACCTAATCGTTTTAATAAATTTCGAGTTATATTAAATTGTTTTGATAATGATCGATCATTATTATTAGTAGTAAAATCACCAACAAAAATAACAATTACTTCATAGCCTATTCGTTGCCATGCAGCTGCTGTTATAGGTGCATAAAACATATATGATCGAAGTTCAGAATAAATAGATAATGCAAATACAACAAATTTACGAATGGTATTTTTTGATAGGTTTTTTTCTGTTGATGAAAGAGAAGAAGTAGAAACAAAAGTAGAGCTGGATATTGTTTTAATGTATGCCCATGAAGTCATAATATTTGATATCGTATTAAATATTAGAATACTAGTAGTACATACCGTTATACCAATTAAAAATAAAAAAAATTTGAAGGCCTACAAAGAAATAAAATGTCTATTAACATCTACTAAAAATGAACCACATGAGTAAGATGAATCGAATATTATCATTTTCAGAGTTTTCTGAAGAATACCTCATCAGAAATACTTGAAACTTTTATGGTAGATAGATTTCGAGAAGTGGAACAAAAGTTGCCATGCAGTTCTAATTTTCAAATACTTTCTTCTAGAAAATATTTGAATCGCAAAAGTTAAAGATCAATCCGCGATCTCAGTCGTAAAACATCTGATAGTCCTGAAATATTTTCTTATAAATACTACATATCGTTTATGGTGCCTGATATTTCTTGGTTTCTTTTTATTTCTTTTGGATGCAGAATAAAATATCAAAATATTGAGCGTACTCTCCGAAAAACATACAATGTTTTGTAAAACTTGTCGAAAATCAATAGCGTAATATTTTCGAAACTTAGAAAATACTGGACATCATAAATAGTATCCAGTACTTGTAGAAAACAGTTTCAGCTGAATTAAATGTAGTATGTCAAAGAAATGGGAAAGTTTGGTCGATGAAATTTCAATAAGAAGACACATTAAGAAAATAAAAACAAAACAAAAACCATGCTGATAACTATAAATTATATTCTTTAAATAATGTGATTTTAATATTTTCAATGTGAATTGCATGTTTATCTTATGTTATACATAGGATGCTTCAATCCTCTAAAGTTTTGAGGTGCATAGAACTCTCCGTTGTCTACGACGATATCAACATGAATCTTGTCTCCATTGTTGATTGCAATTCGAAAGTATGTGCTTTACAAGGAATAGAATATTCATAAAGAAATCTTCCCAAATAGCAGATGAAGGTCGCAATTTTGAGGGAGACTTTTTCTTTAACTGAATTAATATAATTTAAAAAAACTCACTGCCACAAACAAGCGACTAATCCAATATAATTTTGGTTCTTTTGTATTGTTATGTCCAAAGGAAACTCAAGTTTCCAAGTCATTCTCAAACCTTGCTATCGACAAAATATCTTAAATTCTTAAGTGTTTAAAGAAAGATTCGCAAATAGAAATGTACAGCAACAATAAAGAAACTCAAATTGAGAAAGAAATATGAAGTTATTAATGATTGAATATGAATCTTTAAATAAATATTTTCAGGACAAAGAAAGTTATAAGTATAATCTAGTGACAGACAACAATCAGTCTGGAAAAAAAAGAGTAAATTTAAAATAAAACAACTAATTACTCATTTATTGAGTGTGGATCGACATCTTGCTGATGTTTCTCTATCGATTGCAGAAAAATTCTACATGACAAAGAATCTTTTATTCTATGTATAGATAATCTTGACAGGAAATACTGACAAATATGTATAAAACTTTAGTAACTGAACGACATCCTTTATAAATAAAATATTGTACTTGTTGAAAGCCTTTTTTACCTCAACAATCGTTCTTGTACTACTAAGTATAATAATCAAAAGTATTAATTCAAGAAACCAGCACTACGGTTTCAGATGTTCTTTCAAAAACAAAAAGAAACCGATTCGCTATGCTAAAACTTCTTTGAGAATACTGTGATGTGCGACTATAACATCATCTAAAGATAAAATGAAGAAAAAGATTTGTTGCTGTTCTTCCGAAAACAGCATTTTCTTTTTCAAGTAGAAAAAAAAAACGAAATGCCAAATAAAAACAAGTTATATAATTTTTGAAACATCAAACGTTGGTATATCTTCTCATGCATTTATATCAATTTTCACGATAATTAACCTTTTCTTGACGGAGAGTTTAAGAAAGAATATTTTCAGTTTTTTTTCCATTTATAATCAACGAAATTTGAAACACATTAAGAGTCATTGATATCAATTCAATAGTTTATATTATAAACAAATAACTTACCATATGCGATCAATGCTTAATAATATTTAATTATTACCCTATACTATGAATCCTTGATGTAGAACAAAGTATGCGACCCGTGACACAAGTTATACTTGAATGTTCTTCTATACTGTAGTTTGTGTTCTATTAATAAATGATATGGGTTTTTTTTTTCTTATACATATGAGCTATTTAAAAAAAAAGAACAGAGAATAAGAGACAGACAAACATGCATCATAACGTCTTAACACACGTTTATATATGACTGAGTCGCAATTTTTTGAAACGTTTTTGTTACAACTTTGATTATTATGAATCGGTTTTATAAGCTAATTTTTTCTTTTGTTGCTTAATCTTTATTCATATTACAATATAAATTTCAAGTCTATTTGGATATTCGTATTGTAAACCAAAAAAAAAAGAATCTCCTTTTTTTTGATGACTCGTTAAGCAAGAAACGGCTTTTTGATATTCATTAATCAATTTTATTTTTATGTTGAGACCGTTTAGTACGGTCATACTTAATACATCAAATTTCCTCAAGATAAAAAATTGATTTAGTAAACATATTCAACCAATATTAGTCGCTTTGTTAGAGCTCATCGGATCTGAGAAGTTTTTCATCCAGAATGAATTGACAAAAATTCCTCAGATTCAGACTCAACAGGCTCTACTGCTCATCCCAATTGATATGGAAACGTACTCAATCATCTTAGTGTGCATTCTGCTAACACTTGCTACGACCTGGTAGATTCATTATTTTATTCGATATTATACGTGAGTTGCATAATCACAACAAATATATTGTTTAGATAGTTTCGGAAAAGTTACATGCAATGACATAAACTTTATGCTTTCTTTTTTTATTCTAAACTTGATGTGAAAGTATCTTTTCGATCATTTTTTTTTGATACTGAAGCTAGGTACTAAGTTTTTCATTCATATTTGAACTCGAATTAAGTCATTCATAACAAAATTTTGATTGCCGAAAATTGAAGACCACTAGTTATTGCTTTTGTTGAGTTATTGAGATATATATTTTATTTCAACAATGTATTCTAAATAATAAAACTTTAAATTAATGATCTTCTGGTTTATTTCTTAAAGTTAGAATAAATTCTTTATAATATAAATCAAAATCATTGGCTAATGATGAGTTAAACATATAAAATAATAAATTTTTAAATGATGCCCAACGATGTGAATCAAATATTTCATCATGTATGATATGTGCATCACCAAATCGTTTAAAACTTTGTGGTTGCCAAAACTGTTGTGATAAATCTGGATCAAGACGATTTGATGTTTTATGAAATTTATCAATTATAATATTCGGATGTTTTTCACAATAATCATCTAATAACATAGAACAATAAACTTGATCCATATACCATGCTGAATCACCTTTTTTCATATTT